TAAAGATTCAACGACCTACTCCTCAAAGTGCATCTTTTATTAAAAGATCCAGCATGCCTGCTTTTAAAGACTAGAATTGCTGATATGTAACATATCTACAAAGGTATGCAGTAAATACGGAATACTGATTTTAAATGTGTGGAACAGAAGAACCCTCATTTGTCCACTCACATACGTCTTAGCCATTTGTCCTTGTGGCTAGAAGACTGACAGCTTTCAAAACTAAAGCTAGGGTTTTGGTTCAAAACCAGAATATTCAAAACTGAAACCAGGGATCATCAACTCATAGAATATCCTGAGCTGGAGGGGACATACAAAGTTCAAGTCCAACTCCTGTCTGTGCACAGTACAGCCATAAGAATTACACACCATGTTCCTGAGAGTATTGTCCAAACACTTCTTGAAGTCTGGTGGGTTTGGGGCCATGAACACTTCCTTGAGGATGCTGTTCCAGTGCCTGACTACCCTTTGGGTGAAGGTTTTCTTAATATTTAACCTAAGCCTCCTATTATGCAGCTTCATGCCATTCCCTTGCATCTGCTCATTGGTCACCAGAAAGGAGATTGGTGTCTGGACCACATCTCCTGTGGCTGTAAGGGGACAGTGACAGTGGTGAAAGCAGTGCAGGCCAGTGCTAAAATCACCTCTTCTCCTCGGCAAAACACTCACAGGCTGGGATTTTTAAAATTTGATTTGGCATCAAAAATCTTAATCTCTCCTTCATCTGCCACCCTTTGGTACTTTGAGGCGTCTCCACAGTTTGGGTTGGCTGGTAGAATTTACCCTGCCCAGGTAACGCAGGGTGCATGCGGGATGTACCGAAGCCGGAGGCGGTGTCAGTGTGAGCTGGTAGGTGCCACGCTTGGCCAGCCCGGCGGCGCTCCCCGCTGCCCTGCGCGGGCCAGCGGCCGCTGAGGTTGCGGGCCTCCTCCGCTGTGGGGGAGGCGGTGTCCGGGCCTCCTCCGCTGTGGGGAAGGCGGTGTCCGGGCCTCCTCCGCTGTGGGGTAGGCGGTGTCCCCGCCCCGCCGGCGGGGCTGGGCTGGGGCGGGCCGGGCCTGGCTGGGCGGCCGCCATCGCCGGGGAGCCGGGATGGGGCTCGGGGGCTGGTGGAGGGCGGCGCGGGCCCTGCGGGCGGCGGGCGGCGGCTGGAGGCGGGCGGCAGCGCCTGGTGAGCGGGGCCGAGAGGGGATGGGTCCGTCCGGGGCGGGGGCGAGCGGGGATGGGTCTGTCCGGGGCGGGCGGGGGCGAGCTCGACGGCTCGGGACAGCCCGGTGTGGCCGCGTTCGGCGGCGCTGCCGCGCCCCGAGCGGGTCCCGCGGCCGCGCTGACCGGCGGTGCCTCCCTGCCAGGCCCCATCTGCCGCAGCCTCTGCGCCGCCGCGGCGCCCGACCTCTCCTACCAGGAGCTCAAAGACTTGAAGAAGGCCAACGTCCTTCACATTGACGTGCGGGAGAGGTGGGAGATCGACAGGTTTGGAAAGATCCCGGAGTCCATCAACATACCCCGTAAGTTGTCAACGCCGCTATTTGCAGGCGTCGGGTGTTTCTCCTGGCTGGAATGGTCAAGTGGTGGTGACTGAGCGAAGAGGAACGCTGCTAAAAAGCTGCTGTCATGTAATGAGGCTGAACGTTCCCTCCAGAGGAGTTAGTAAGAAGTCTTGAAATGTGAACCTGTCTTTGGATGGAGAATATACAATAGCTTGTTTTCTGTATTTCCCAGTTGGTGAATTAATGGAAGCTCTACAAATGGACCCAACGGAGTTCAAGGAGCAGTATAATCAAAAAATGCCATCCAAGTCAGACCCTGTGGTTTTCTCCTGTTTGGCAGGAACAAGAAGTAAACAAGCACTTGGTTTTGCCATGTCCTTGGGTTTCAGCAGGTATGACTTTGTGTGTAAGGATGGGATTAATGCTGCTTCCCCCCACGAAGCAGAACACGTATTCATCTTGTGTGCAAGGGTAAAAATTTACACGTGGAATATGAACAAAACAATTGGTGTTTGAGTTAGACACCTCCTCTTGTCTCCCCTGAACCTTGAAGGATGCCATTGGGTGTTGCAGCAAAGTGAGGTGTTACCACCCCTTTAGCAGCTCTGCACATGTGCTGCGGATGACATAAACTGTTGCAAGACCACGCTGCCACTGAAGGCTCCGGCCTCTTAGGGCTCCCTTGCTGAGACGTTTCTTCCTTAAAGAGCTCCATAAGTATTAGTCCTGAGATCCAGGAAGAGTGTAAAGGTGGAGAACTGCTTGCTTTGGTAGTAGTACAATCTTAAATAGTTTAAGAAACCACACCCTTTGTTGAATTGCAGTTCTGCCTTTAATGTTGACAAAGGATGTCTTCACTTCCTTAAAGCTTTGGATTATTTGCCAGGAGTAAAGCAGTGAAGGCAATAGCTGACAAAGCAATAGATGATGATAGACTGAAATGCAGCATTTGTTTTGCAGAATTAAACTTAACTTTGGAAGGTACCTTGCTGTCTGGAAGACTGCAGATAAAATTTAAGACATGGGTTATTTGCTCATGTTTTCACTGAACTGCAGTTCAGGAACTGGAACATTCATATTAATTCTAGTCAAAAGTGTGGAAACATGTTCTTGTTTCAGAGTGAAAAATATCCTCCATTACCTGTTTTTCATGAGGCCCAATTGAAGGTGTCAGTACTGTTTTACATAGTGGATTTTTGTTTTACAGAGTTTAGTTTTGGACAGGTTGATACCAGACCTATAGAGCATACAGGTTTGCAAGGAAGTAAAGATCAGTGTGCAGGTTTATTTGGTGACAGTTTAGACATAATAAATAGACATGTAAATCTCCCACTGCTGTGAGTCTCTTCTCACTCTTTTAAAAAAGAACTGTTTTTTTGTAGGGTTTTTTTGTTTGTTTGTGGGGTTTTGGGTGTTTATTTTTTACTTTTGGTTTCTTTTTTTTTTTTTTTTTTTTTTTTTTTTTTTTTTTTTTTTTTTTTGCTGTGTCCTCTTGAGACAATATTAAGAACTCTTCTTGAGAAAGGTATCTTTTGCATATTTTCAGAGTTCAGCAGTATGCTGGTGGCTTTGACGACTGGGTAAAACATGAACCTCCAGAAAAGAAATGAAGATGACAGCCCCATCCCTATCAAGGCTTCAGGATGGTTTGTAGGTTTTAGCAAACAGCATGCATTCCACTTCCATAATAAAGCTCACTACTGGCTTCTTGTGTAAACAGACATTCACCTTCAAACACCCATGCATATCAACTGCTTGGTTTAAATTATACCCAAAGACTATGACACAGACACAAGACATTAAATTTGCTCAACCTTTCAACCTTTACTTTGGATTATGGTTTTGGTGAATGCATGGGAAGAGAACCTAAGTGCAGATTATGTTTACTTTTTTGTATGATGTAGTTTATGACTGTTTAAACTAATGATGATAGGACAAATAAAATTATTATTTCTCAAATACCTATGTCGGGTAGTTTGTTTAGAGTAGTCAAACTGCAGATATTCTAGTATCAAGGGGTCAAGGGGACAACAGAAACCCACTGCAGGCTGTGTTGTACCAGGCCTCACCAGGACTAACAATGCCTTCTGAAGATCATTGAGGTCAGACTGTATAGAGGATTTCAGGATTTAGTTAAACATATAATTTGTCATGCTTATCTGTATTGATCACGCCACCAAACTTCAGCATACAAATGAACAAAGCAAGGCACTCTCATCAACTAAGTCAGTACTTAGTCATGAGCAGCCAATGCTTCCTTTTGTAGCTAAATTAACGTTTCTTGGGAACACCTGAAACTACATAACCACAAAAGAACAAGTTATTCTGTGTTACACAAGATCTATCTAGCCCATTATTTTCTGTTTGGCAGAAACATCTGAGGAAGAGCATAAAACAAGATTAGTATGTAGTGGTACAATCTCCAGATTCTTCTCATTTACAACTCAGAGTACTTCAGGCTTTGCATGTCTTACTGTATTTAGGTATTTGTAAATTTTCAACAGAAACTCCTATCAGACACAGCAGTGGTGAAAAATCTTTCCTTTTTTTGCTTCCCAACTTGCCATATATTCATCAGCTGCTCTGGCTTGTTCTGTCAGAAGTAAGCAGTTGTCACCTATCAGTCTTCACACCACCTGTGATTTTTCTAGACCTACTGTCTTTTCTGAACTGAGGAGCTGTGGGTTGTTTTTTTTTTGTAATGGGAAAATTACTGTATACCTCTTTTATTTTCTTTTTTTCATTATCTTGGTAGGTTTTTTTAAGATTTTTGCTCAAACTATTTGTAACTTACCAAATTAGATTACCAAACTTACCTTTCTAATTTGCCTTCCAAATGATGGGGTTTCAGTTGAATAACTTGTCCGATCCAGTTTGTTTCCTTTGGGATTTTTCTTTAAGTGGTTTTGGCATAGATGGCTTGTGTTTGCTTTGACACTTCAGAGTCACCAGTTGCAATATAATCTGTGAAGAGTTTCATCTGCCTGTCTTTCACTGAGATACCACATTTTTATGCACCTCTCCTTTGACATAAAGCAAAAGGTGATTTTTTTTCTGCATGCTTAGTAACAAGACTGTTGCATTCACATTATGTTCCATCTCCTGTTGTTCAAAATTACTTTTTAAAACTGTCTTCAGTGAATCCAGCTCTTTTGACTGCACTTTATTGCCTTTCAGTGTTTTTACTGGAATCAAAGCTAGTAAAATTAACCTCATTTTCCCAGTAGAGAAATGCCTTAAGAAATTTCTGGGTACTATCAAGAAGTGCCCGACGTTTTAGCTCCGAGATTTAGGACTCATTGTGCTTTACGTGTGAAGTAAAGTCTGCAAAGACTCTTCAGTAGCAGTGATTAAATCTTTTCTTAAGAAAAAATTTCATCACTCTAGCCAGAATTCTTCATTAATTCCCTAATTCCAAAACATTAACTTTCCTGGCAGATTATGTGGTATATGTGAGAACACTTCTACTTACCTAAATAATAGTTCTTGTTTAATTACTCCAGACAACAGAGGTCAAGTTGCTTTAGATTTATTTATATTCCCCAAGTCCACATTACAAATCGCACACTTTAGACTTCAAGAAATGAAAGCAAAATAGCCAAATTCCACTTCATCAATCAAGTGTCTATAAAAGGTATGGATCAAATGGCAACCAAGTAGCAAAGACCAAAATGTGTATTTTTTCCACCTCACCAAAGTGTCTGGGGCGGGTTCACATAATGGTTTATGAAAATAACCTGAACAGAAATAAATGCTACTAGCCTAACAGGCTACATATAAAACCACTTCAGTTATATTTCACTGAATAACCAGCCAATTACAAATACAGGTATTTGCAAAAACAGGTGGGTTTTTTTAAGGGGCCAGTTTTTTGAACCAAGACACATCATGGAGCACATGCTTTCAATCTCCCTCCAGGATTTCAGAGCAGTGAAATGTGTTGTTTCAGGAAAATAAACAAAACAAAAAAAAACAAAAAAAAAAAAAAAAAAAAAAAAAAAAAAACAAAAACAAAAGAAAAAGCACAATGTTACTGAACTATATCATACAGCTTTTATACTTGGGCAAGTTGGCATTACCATTCAAAATAAAGTTGTACAGAACTTAGTTAGAAACAAAGTTATCTAAAAAATCAAGTAATCAATTAAGGCCAATTCCTGTCTTCAGTGGGATATCTGCCTGAGTAAGGAACGCAGGATATGGCCTTCTGTTTGAAGAAATCTCATTTTCTCCAGCACAAAGGTAACCAAGGAATCCCATTTCAGTTATTCTAGAGTTGCTCCTAATATCCCAATTAAAATTTGCCAGTATGAAGCTCACCAAACACTTGATCCTCTTAAATAAACTCTCTAATGAACCACACAAATTCACACTAACAGTGAAGGCAGACTAACAGTGTATATCTTTGCTACAATAAAATCCACCATAAAAAATAGCAATAATATCCAGATTTGTACTTGATTGTGAAATATTCCGATTGTACCATACAGTACATTTATTAAAAAAAAAAAATCCTAGTATGTTGGGTTGTCTTAATTTCTAACACTTGAAATGTTTCAGAAAACTGCAGAATCACTATACATATTGCACTTCTCTGGCAAGCTGGGCTACTGTATTGTGGCAAAAACAACCAAGTAGATCTACTGAGGAATACAGCTTTTTTAAACCCAAAAATAGAAACTGAATTTCTTTCCTGCAGTTTTCATTAAAACTGTAACAATATTCTTTACAGGCTTTTCTAGGCATTTGTTTCTGAAGGACTGTGTGCTACTTGTTGCAGAATCTGTATTTATTTTTTTTAATCAACAAAACTGAAGGTAATAGATAGTGCACTCTGTGTTGAATCTATCTTCCTTCAGTCACAAACAAAATGAAGACAACACAAGTCATTAATACAGTACACTTAGGCTTCAGGTTACTGTCGCTCTAAAAATAGTTCACTTCAACACAAATAAAACCAATAATGAACTATTTGTTTTGAGTGAAAAACATCAATCTTTTGCAGCTTGGTTTAAAGTTTGATTCCTTACACTGAAAAATCTTAGCGCATTTGCTCCAGCTTCAGAGAAAATTATATCATTTTAGAGAAAAAGCTTTCAAAATGCTTGACACAAACAAGCTATTTATTCTTCGAGTTCTTTGTCAAAGATGTTACTAAAACCTTCTGTCCATTTCATGAACACAGGAAATATCCCAGGATGTCTTGAGTCAAAGTGGTCCATAAAGAAATTCTTTGGAATGCCTTAAGATTGGCTATAACTAGAGTTCTGGCTACCATTTGGACCCTGTTCTCCTTCACTGTTGAAGAAAACAAAAACATGTCTCTTCAATAAGAAGCATCATACTACATTTTTTATCCTTTTTTTAAAATTAAAAAATACAAGAGAGTAATACAAATCTGTGGAAAGAAAATACTTCAACATATACATAAATAGGTCGATATACTCTGCTCATTTTCATTTAAAAAATGCAAAGGCTTTTTTCAGCATGCATAAATAACTTCACCATATTTATGTGAATAATAATAATTTCAATATACATCCATGAAGCTGCCTGCTAAATCTACTTCTGAAGTCAACATTGTGAAGTTCACATTACATAAGCATGTGCACAGGAATTTGTATGTGCAGATTCCCAGCAGTGATACTTAATCACAGTAATTAAATACTTAAATTAAATTAAGCAGGCCCAGTTCCATTGAATCTGGCCCAGCCATGGAGCCTGACACTGAGGTACCTTACATTTGCTGAGCTGTACTGATCACATTCTAATCACATTAACACTCTCCATAAGATAGTGAATGTTATGCTTCCCACTAGCTCCTGAACAATCAGGCTGGTTTTGTATCAGAAACATCTGCACTGTAAAAATATATACTACACCTTGAATTAAACATTTACACATTCTTAAGATCATAGTCTAGTTTTTCCATAGGAAAGGTGCAATAAGGAAGTACCGTACCTGTTTGGAGGTGGTTTTGGTTTAGGCATTTTACTAAGAATAGTAGCCATCTCTTTTCTCTCATCAAAGTTCTTCCACTGCTCATACAGCTTCAGAATAACCCTGATTATTTCTAAAATCTGTAATAGAAATGAAAGCCTAAGGTCAGACATGATAGTGATTTTTCCTTTGTCATAGCCTGTTTAAGGGTGCAATTAACTAAACAGGCCCCAAACAGAAACTAAGCAACAAAATTTTTGTATTATCAACAGAGGTGTCTCACACTTAATCTGGTCACAAAAAAACATTTAATTAGTTTTTTGATTAATTGTGAATCAAAGCCTGAACAGAATACTTTCCCTTTCAACTGTATTTACTGCTTCTCTTCCCCTGCAAACTTAATACCTTTTTATTTATTTATTTATTTGCAACTACTGTCACAGCTTATAACTAAGCTCCTGGGAAAATACAGACTTGGGCACATGACTACAGCTAAATGACCATGTACAGTAATTGATGACTGTCAATGTTCTATACATATCAGGGGAACAGGGTGGGACAACAAAAGCCAAACCCACAAAACATTCATCTGAACTCTTTCTTTCCAAAAAACAGAGCCAAGGAGTTCTTAAATACTTCTTACATTCTTATACACATATAAGAATTGTTGAGACTTCATATTCTGCTTCTGGAAGTGTAAGAATTCCATACTGCTTTGGACTTTCTATCTACCTTAATTTCCTATTAAATTTCTAGTGCAATATTCTATATAAAAGCTGGAGAACGTTTCATTCATAATATGACTCATTCTCTAAATTAATAAAGTAGACTTCTTTCTTCTTTTTTAATACATGATTTTTGATTAAGTGCAGAGCAATACATTTCATCCTTGAAACGAAAGTCATAGTTAGTGCTTCACCATGTCCGCAGTGTACATGCGAAAAAAATCAAGCTTAGGCTTTATCACTGACATAAGAACCAAGACAAGTAAACATTCAAAGATATTCAGTATCACGCTTATGGTACTTTTATCTATTAAATATATGTTGGTCCTCCTTTGCTGCCAGTTTATTATCACCCTGCCTTTAAATGTATGACAGCATAATTCACAGAGCTCTCCATGCAGCATAGCATCCACATTGTGTTTACATTTCAAGACAAATCCTGGAATACAAACACAATGCTGTAACATCAGTGGGATAAAGAGAAATACCAAGGGCACAGAGGGAAATGGTACCTCTCAGTCATAACAGGCTATTTAATTCTAGACTCTCAGTTTCAAAAAAAGACTGAAAAAAATACGTGCTAAGTGAAACAGTGTGATAAGGAATATGAGTACTACTTCAATATGCTCACTGGAGCTAAATAAAGGTTAAAGAAGCCAACCTAAAAAGTAAAAGAAACTAGTGAGGATCAAGAACATTGTTAGTATAAGGACAACTGCACCCTGAAACCTAATAAATTAATGAAGGGAATTAACCTAATAAATTAAATAAAGGCTAGCATAAAAGTAGTACTTCTACTGTCTTTCTGTATTTGAAACAGTTGAAGAATAAGAATTCTGCTAACACAGCTAAACACCCCTATATATTGCTTCTACCTCCTATGACATGCTACAACAAAAAGACAGTTAATGAATAATTATTAACCTAATAAATTTGACACAGAATTTGCATTAGCAGGGAACTCAACTGAATGATCTTGGTGTCTCCCTGATTAGCACTGACTGAAGTCACAGTGCTGGGCATCCTGAAAGTGTCAAAAATGTTCTACACTATGCTATACTCTGCACATGTACAGGGAGAAAAAGAGAATGGTGTGCTGGGATGATGCTGAAAAGTGAATCAGAAAATCACATGCACTTGAACTTAAAAGTAAAACTCCTACTGACAATCTTGTGTGACGGAAAAGTGCTGTGAATTCTTTTTCTGGCAAACAATGTAAAAGATTTGGTTTATATTTCTGTCTGGAAAACGGCAATACCAGCAATGCTCTTCTGTTGTGCAATGGTTTTGTCCTGACTTTCAGAGCAGGGTGATAACCAAATAACATTATATTGTCTCCTTTCCAAAGGGATCTGCCTAACTGCAACAGCATCTAACAAGAGCACTGAATTTTAAGTTCAAATCAGTACTGTGGATGTGAAAGACAAGCATGAATACCCTTTCTGAAACAAGTGCTGGGAATAAAAAACAGATTACCTTTTCCATATCAACAGACAGCTCAGCAAACCATTGCCTTGCATCCTTCTGCTGGACAACACAGGCCACATGTAGGCAAGCTGCAAAGATCAGGTGACATGGATATTGACTGAAGATACACTCTCAATACAGTTAGAAACATTCAATTTTTTATAAACTCTATACAGTTCAACAGAGAAAACTTGGGATTAATTATCTGACTTTTCTTTAAGGCTTTTTAAGTTGCAAGGCTACAGTGTCAATGCTGTATGAGACACAACCTGAAGCACCTTATGAGGGCACTGAGGAATGCTTGTGATGGCACAGTGCACAGAATACATCCAGGTAAACATGACAAGAGACGTTAATTGTTACTTACCTAGAGCTATCATGAAAGGAGGGTACAGCAGACAAAGATCAGTTCTATATGTGTCATTCACTATCCTCCTGTGCAAAAAAGAACTTGTAAGTATCTTCCTATTCACCTTTAGACTATATTCCTTCAAAAACTGTTGCTGGATTACAAATATTTTGTCCGTTTTCTAGATGGTCGAAGCAATGAGGCTGCAGGGCAAATTATCAAGGAAAGAGATCTTTTCTCTTGTAAAAATCTCTTAAAGCCTTTCTTTTTTTCCCTTGTAGTCACAGTAAAAGTTTATTTAGAAACATTATTTTAGTACATAAATGTCTTTCTGCAATGGATGTGTATGTATACCATCAAATAATTATCTGTTTCACAGATAAATAAAGGCTAATATAAAAGTAGTACTTCTACTGTCTTTCTGTATTTGAAACAGTTGAAGAATAAGAGTTCTGCTAACACAGCTAAACAACCCTATATATTGCTTCTACCTCCTAGGACATGCTACAACAAAAAGACAATGTTGACAAAAAGAAATTTCCTTTACTCATAGTCACCATTCAGTAATGTTAAAACTGTGCTATTTGAGCTAGTCTAAAAAATAAAAATTAGACCACTGCAAAGTAAAATCACTACAGGGTTAAAGACAGAATAAGCTATGTCAGGGACATATACCGGCACAGGTTAACTAGGGCACCCTTTGTATTCAAATATGGCTAAGCCTGCTTGGTTCAGCAAAAGCTTAACCACCTTTGAAGCATAACTGTTAAACACTTCCATTCTTAACAAAAAGAGGAACTATTTCCATTGTCTTTATTACCATGCGAGAGGTAGCAGCATGTCTTCTTGGCCCATATCTTGCACATATTGGAGCAAAGGTCTATAAGGATGATATACTATCAAACAGCAGTCCTAGGAAAAATGTAATCGGGACAGAAGTTAGATTTCAATGCAGAGCATGTTGTCAGTTCATATTAAAACATTTGGTTTACAAGTCAATTACTGATGATTTTTTTAAGTAGCATTCTAACACCTAGCCCTGCTCCAATGAGGGCAATGCTCTCTCTAGAATACCATTACACAGCACAGTTGCCAATCTGTCAATGTCCTTCCCCTAAGAGACACAGAAAGTCACATCTGCAGCACACTGAAACCACATTTGCTTACAAACCCGTAATTCCCACGTGGAAATACAAAACGCTGCCAGAAAACAGTCTGCTACTAAATACCATACATGGAAAGCATGCCAAAATAATTTATGCTGGTTTGGAAAGAAAGAAAAGAAAAATTCCACTGCTCTCAAATCCCCTCATTTCAGGTCCAGGTAAACAAGAAGGAAAAAACTCTTGCTAAAAGCAGCCAAAAGTGTGGATACTACAAGGAAAAGCCACATTAAGTTACATGTGCTGAACACTTTTGTGAAACACCATCACTACACACACTATACATTGCATAGAATACTGGAAAAATAAGTGAATCCCCAAAATATAACTTCTTGTAAATGCAACTGCTTGCGCTAAAATGTATGCATACAAAACTCAAGAGTTACTGCCATGTATAGCAGAGGTATAAAGGACTAAATCTAAACAAGAATCTAAAAACTGTATTAAAATAACTTGTAGGTACAAACAAAAATTTTGACCTGATCTCCTATGTGTTCAGTTTCCAAAACATATTCTCTCATCTGCTGTCTACCTCACTAAGCTGCTCCCTGATTTCTCACTCCTTTTCTCTGCACTTGAGCAGAACTACTCTAGTACAGTAGTACTAGAATTCAGTGCTTAACCCATCCAAGTCCAAGCCATATGCAGAAATTAAGCACTACTTTACCCAAGCCCTCTAAGAAGTCTGGGTTGTCTCCTTTCAGCTACCTGAGCAAACACAGCAATGGGCTAGCTACTCTTACAAAAATAGGTATGGCTCCTTTCTTTCAAAGGGTTTGGATGGGTGTCCCACTGTGTTCCTTTCATCCAACAGCCTAACAGTTACAGCACCATCTCAGAAAATGGGAGGCCTGAATTCAGTTTCTTCCTCATAGGATTCAAACCCCCATTACTCTAATTATTAGGTTGCTATAGACTAGCTTGAATGGGATAGTACCCACACCTTCTGCTAGAACATTTAAGTGTAGCCCCAGATTCTTCCAGGCAAGAAGGAGAGGGCATAGAAAGAATACAACTCTCCATGGTCATAAGTGGCCATTCCATCTGGAGAAAAAAAGGACGCTGACATCCCAGTCTCTGCATCAGGACTTAGGTACAGTTACCTCTCTCACAAAAACAGAAGCAGTTCCACCAAAAAACCCAACCTACCATTAATTCTAAGAGATAGAATTCACATTCTAGTATCTGCAAAGAAGCAAAACCACAGTTAATCAGCAGTATGTTTCAGGCAGCAGAAAAAATTAACTGACACACAGTTTAACATCACAAATGCACAGGAATTATCAACAATTACTTCTAACAGTCCTAAATGCATTTTATTTGAAACTACAAAACCAAAATATAAAAACTACTATTGGCTATTGCCTTATCACTATTGTAACTCAACTGCAGTCATAATAACAAACAATTTAAATATTTTGCATCATGTTTGCTGTGAAAGACTGCTGAATTGGCAGCACTTGCCTGATTTGTTTCAACACCTGGAACAGCAAATTGTTCCCAGTGCATAAAAACTTCACAGCAATAGAGAAGTTCTTTTGTAGAGTTAGACATCTTCTTCAGCCCACTAACTTGTCAAATAGCCTTTCAAAACATTTTCAGATTTAATTTCATATGAAATATTCTGTCCAATTGTAGCAATTATATCAGCTCTCACCCTCAATACAGAAGGTGATGTATTGGTGCCTTGAAGGAAAAGACTGGACTACTTTGGCTATATGAAAGCTGTACTCCAAAATGTATTTCCATCTGCCTTTACCTATAAAAGAGCAGTGCAGTTTTATTATAAGGTCTTAGGTATTTTATATTCTGACGTGTCATTTGGCTTTCTAGATTGGGTAAAAAGCAAACCAACAATTGTTACAGGCAATCTAAAACTATTTAAATGTTTAGCTTTCAAAATTCTACAGCAGAGGTCAAAATTGGTTTTAAGAAAAATTACAAAATTTCACAGTATTGTGACTGAGAATATCTTGAAAACCACTAGTAAATTTAAATTTTAAGTATTAATTAAAAACTATCTTTCCAGAGCCATTAAATTTTACAGGCAAAAATAAAACTGCTTTCTGTAAGCCAACTGCTCATGTGTGCAAGCTTGGAAGCATTCCAGGTGCAAAGGCCATTTACTTCCCCTGGAGCAATGTATTTGTAAACAAGAATATTCAAAAAAAACTAAATCTCTTTTCTCATCATGCTATAGAAAAACTACCTTTTCAGTCACCCTATCACATCACTTGTCTTTCCTGTCAACAATTTAAGGAAAGGAGGTTACGTAAGATTTTTATTACTTTTAAAGGTAACTTTCACAATATTCTGCACTAAACTAATCATGAACAAACCTGACATATGAGTATGAAAATATTTCTTGCTTAGTATTTAAAAGAAAACATTTCCTGCTAACAATTACTAATTTATTTGATCAAGTTATATTTCAAATAGCATACTTACATGGTTCATCCTATAAGGAAACTCCTTTGGAAAGGCATAAGAAAACCTAGTTTTCACTACAGTAAACAGAAAAAAGTATGTTAAAAATAATGTAATTAATACTTTTACTTATTTCCCTTTCTATTAGTTTATCTGTATATAGCACTTCAAATCTACCTGGCAGCACAACTTTCAGTTTGTGGCTTTCAGTACAAAAGGCTTGTATTTCAAAGAGGAGAGATAAGTTACAAGATTTAAGATCCTAAAAAGGAAAGAGAAATACACCTGAACCCCAGATTTGCACAGATACTCAGCCAGACATTTGACTGCTGCTTTGGACACTATTAAGTCTTCTGGTTAACCACCTAAACTAGCTCAGCTAACTTCCCACAAGTTATCACTCACAGAGCTCTTCAGCTACTGATGTTCAGGATCTCAGATTCAACACTAAATCCAAATGGAACTTTAATGGGGAATTTTTTATATAGGCTTGATCCTTCAACATGCAAGATTTTAAAAGAACTAATGAAGTCTCAGAAAAGCAAGCCCAAAGGCAGGGTAAGGGAGCTCAGCCAGACTTCTTGCAGGTTCATAATGTAATTACTATCTCAAATTGAAATATTTAATTAATATTTGTGTATTTTACAAGGAGAATGAGTACAGTTAGTGCACTGGTAAGAAGCATGCTAATATGCAAAATCAGAGTGATTTCATGTTAGAATGCTGAACAAAGAAAAACAAGAACACTTGAAGATGTGGATTTGACACATAAAACATTTAAACGTAAAACATTTTGTACACATAAAACATTTAAAAAGCTATTTTAAGTCCTTGTTGTCCAAGGAAAACAAGCAACATTAACACCCTGGAAGTGGACAATATTCCATATATTAATGACAGACAGTATATTATTAAATGATACTATCAATATTACTTCCAGAAAATCAGTATGACATTCACTTCAAAGAAAAGACAGCATCAGTCCTCTGTACCGAAGAATTCACCATTTAGACCTAGGGTGAACTTCGCTAGAAAATTTGTTGTAGGACACCAAGACTGGGCTACTTGTTGGAAATTTTAATTATTTCAAGAAAGAGAAGAATTAATAAAGTATTTTCTCAAGATGTATGCAAACTGAAGGTGTACATGGTAAAAAAAATACCAATTTGAGAAAGAAGATAGGGAGAAAAAGCATTTTTCCCACAAAGCAAACTGCAGACACAACCATTACATGGAGCTGTTGCTTTAGTGAGATGTGTTAACAAAAGAAAAACCTTTTGAAGAGGTTGTTGAAAATCAGGTTAAGATGACGTTCCTTACAAAGGAAGCAAGTGTTATTAACTTCATGTTGCTACTGAGCTAAAAGCAAGCAAACCTCTTAAACCAGCCACCATTACATTAGTAACCCCTTTTTTTAACTTCTTTTTGCTTTTACTTGTCTTGCCTCATCTTTTCTTGCCTTTGGTATTAAGAACTCACAAAAACTGCTGTGTGCTACTGAAGAAACTCTGGTAAAGGAAGACCAGGTAGAATAAAAGAAGAAATGCTTGGAGAAAGCCTGTTGCATTTTGCCCCCACTTCCATGAAATGCACAGTACTTATCAGGGCTGACAGGACTTCTAGGTCTGAAGGAAGAGCTGTGGGGAAAATCTTCTATAAGGTCATGAGACTGGAATTTTGAGAAACAGCGCAGCTAAGAAATAGATGTCCAAATAATCAGTGTATTTACCGAAATCTATCTAACCTTCTCATTTATGCATCAAAACTTCCACACAATTATGCTTCTGATGTAAAAATAGCAACTCTCAGCGCTAAATCCAGTACTGGTCTTGGCCATGCTGGCACCGAAGATGTGTTTCAGTTCCTGGTGGTGGAACTGTCACACGGCCAGCCCCATGGACTGATACACTCTCTGCATCGGGAGGCTGCAGATGCAGCCAGTCACCTGTCCCCTCAACGGCTACATGGGATTTTGAAAGCGCTGACCTACATTTGGAAGAGCAAAGCCAGGAATTGCCCGTTGAGAGCAGCTGGACCTTCTGGGTCAGATAACAGCATTCAGCTAAGGAAGACATCACTTCAAGAGTTTGATGGATGATATGTAAGTTACATGAACTGGGAAATACAAAGGCAAGTGGGAAAGATAGAGAACTAAGTAACTACAGTGTATTTTTATTGAATTTATTGTGAACAATAAAGTGTGTTTTTAGAAATAAATACCATGTGCAAAGACTAATTTTATGATGGGGGGAAAAAGGATTAAAGCAAATTTGAAGGTATGCAGCCTACCAAAAATTCTTAAAACAGGTACGTCCACAGAACCATACCTTTTAGTAAACAGACAAAATCGTAAATCTCCAATTCTATCTTCAAGTAATTCAGAATTCAATTTACTACCCAAGCTTGTTTATAAATTTCAATAGTTTTATGACTTTGTTTTCACTTATTCCTGGCGTAAGTTCCAACCATAATCAACCAAAACTAATACAGAAAGGATCCTTCTGTCTGTTTTTGGAAACAGAAGCTCTTTATTCTAAATGGCTCTTATAGTCCTCCATGATTTGATAAAAAGCTACCTTTTAAAAAAAAGCAAAGAAACCAACTGATTTCCCTACAGAGATACCTAATTAGAGCATAACGAAAATTACTGATACTTACATACAGAAGTAGCAGCAGAAATCAACCTTGTATTTGAAACAACACCAAATTCCTGAAGAAAAAGAATGGTAAATGAGGTGAACCACCTGAAACACCATACACTCACAGTTATCAAATTGAAATAATGGCTTCTTACTAAACTGGGCTTCTTTTTGCAGTATTGTAGTATTTGTTTTTTACCCCCACCCCTTTTTTTTTTTTTTTTTTTTTTTCTTAAGGTAAACCTAAGTTATTTCATTGATTTGTTTCTTGATTGTTTGTGAGGAACAGTAAAGATTCATGAAAGGCACTAAAATACCAAAAGCTCAGTTGGCTAACATTCTTTTTATAAAATAGAGAAGAGGGCTTCAAGGAGGTTATTTTTGCCTTATTCCATTTGGAAAGAAAACTGTCTTTAGAAACCTGCCATTAACTAATTTTTTAGTTATGTTTTCGTTAAGTCTTAGCTCCTGTGCTGAGACAGCTCTCTGAAAAATTTCTGTATACAGTGTTCTTTCAGAGAAGTCCATAGCTGAATCAATAGTGCTGCCCTCTAAAGCTGCAGAAGCTTTAGGAAGGCTACACAGGAAGGAAGGCTACACAGACTTCAAATTTAAGGTACATCTATGTATATACACATTCTATGTCTGTGCCTCCTTAAAGGCTCATTTAACAGGTTGATAAAAAAGCACTCTCTCCAACACTCTCACTATTTTCCTTAATGTCTTCCAAACACTGAGTGTCACAGTACTTGTACAGACAACAGTATCACATGTGACCACTAGTTTAGTAGGACTGTTTCTAGTCCATTAAGTATTTGAGCTCCGTCTGTAAAACTCCTTAGTGCTGACATATCGTAAAGTAGCCAATTTGACTTTTTTCCATTACACAAACACTTCTCAAACAGCTGCAAACTTGCTGCATTACAAGGACTAACAGCAGCACTCAGCTTATGCTCACTCTTGGCCACATTCAAAGGGGAGCACTGATGGTGGAGGCATGGAGCCCTCTCACCATGATCCCTAATGGGTCAATTCCTTATGATAATTTCTAAAGGACAGAGCATGAGCTACAACATGCTTTTAATCCAAGTAATGAAAGTGTGGTAAACTCTGAGGATCCCTTGCTATATGAAATAGAACAAGATAATTAGGTAAAAAAAATCCAATTATGTTTTAAAGTTTGAGTAAACATAAATAAGGAGAAACACACCAGAAAGGAGACACTGCTTAAGAGACACACAATTTAAGATACAGTGTATTTAAACACTGTGTGACAGTGAAACAGCCATTTAAAATATTTTTTTCAATTTTCAGAGGCACTTCAGGGTTAGTAATTCAAACAAGTTTTGAAGGCCTTCTCTGTCTCCTTTTCTTAAATGCTATAGAAATCTATGCAAAAAAGAGAAGGTTTCAACCCCCAAAGCATGAAGAAAGACAAAAAAATTGAGAGTCCTAAACGTTTTCTTTCTCTCATACATCACATAATGTTACATTAAAAAATTGTAATACTTCATACCTCTACTTTGGATGCCAAAAACACACACGTAGGAGCCATTAATACTGGATCTATACTTTTTAGGGAATATCTGAAATGTTACAACAAAATTATAATATGTTGTTTCATACATGTAGAACGATTAATCTATTAAGAGCACCACACTTCCTTTTGAAAAAGCAAAGCTTAAGTTAACTTTATTAAAGCATAAAAGCTTTACACCATCCAGAAAACAAAAGTGGCACTGTTTTTAATACAGAACTGCATTTTTAAAGGGCTACCAAAATGTGCCTAGCAAATGTTTTATTCTTGTACCATCATAGTAAACAGTCCTACCTGGCATAGAATCTCTTGAAGTAGACTGTAGCAGTTGCAATAACTTGTTGTCTTAATTTAAGATGTTCACCTAAAGCCTGGATAACTTAAAAAAAAATGAACAAAAGCTTGAGTTGAGTTTTTTGAAACAATTTGACACCAAATAGCAAAGGGTCTCAAAACACCGCTAGCACTAGTGCTGGGGATTCTAAGGAGCAGCACCACAGTCTTCTCCCTCTGCTGCTCTAGAGAGACAACACGCTGCTGAAAACCTACAGACCTGCAGGTGAAGAACCACTGCTTCCTGAAGCTTGGGGACACCTTCAAAAAGGAAAAGGAATTTTGACTCCATTGTGTACAAAGCAAGTATGACCTTTAAGAAGATGACAACACAAATCTCAGAAGAGTAAAGCTCAGGTATTCCATTTTAGAGTACAACAAATTCAGACACAGGAAATATAAAACCTCAGCTCTTCAGTGCCACACAAAATGGATGGGTTTTTTCAAACAAGTAAAGCTGCCAACACAAACACGGTCATTAAATTTGGCAGAGGCAGCAGGTGTTAAAAAAATGACATATTTAGTCTAGGGAGAGGGGGTGGGAGACCAGAGGATGTAGTCAGCTGCTCCATCACGGTGGTCCTCTGCCAGTTGGCCAAGACACAACCCTGGTGTCATCTGTGCAGGTAGCTCTTGTTTGGCCTCCCAGGCAAAGGAAAGGTGCCAAGCAAATTAGATGCATCAAGCTGGGATTAAGAGCAGGGGTTGGATGTAAAGAATGGCACAGTGAAACATAAGGTTGTTACTTGTTATTTTTCCCATAATTCTGCGCCGCCATTATTCTGAGCACTGCTCGGCTCTGTGCAGACTCCCTCTTCTTTTTTTCCTCCCTCATGAGAAATGTCAAAAACAATATTTTAAAATACACTTAAGTAGATATTTAAAGTATGTACAGCAGAACCAAGACAGTGACCATTGGTGGCAAAAGCAAACAATTCTGTTGCCAGTCATCACTAAATTCTTAGTCCCTACTTAAGCACCTGAAGTAGAGTTTTTTGCCCATGCTCTTATCACGTATCCCCTGCGACAGCCAGGGTACACATCTGTCATCTACTGGCAAGGCCCAAAGCAACACTAAATCCGTCTCATATCATTCTTTTTCTAGAGAATACCAAATTTGGATTAGTTTTGACAGTGACAGCAGGACAAGCAATACTTCCGAAAAGGGTGTTAAACACAGTATGCAATGTCTGTACAAATATTAAACATTTGATCAGCACATCTTGGGAGGCTGGAAAGTATTTTTGCCTTTAATTTGACCATGGGGCTAAAAAGCTGTCCTACTACTAGGGCATCAGAAAAATTCAAGTATTAGGCTAAACAGAATTCTCCAAATATGTCTCATACTCCCATGGGATTTTAGGAATGGTTAGGCCATCTGCTGTCAGAGAAAAATCAAGTGTGGTTTAGAAGAAAAAAAATGGACAAGAGCCTAGAGAGACTTAATGAAATGGAAGCTTGTATATGCTGGGAAAAGTCCAATGCTTGTAATTATTTTAATATTTGAAAAGAAACTATAAGATAATTTATTCCTGTACATTTAGAAAGTAAGCAGTTTCAGTAGTTTGGGGTTTTTTAATAAAGGTTGTTTTAAATCTGAGTATTTTCAGTAGCCTTTAACACAAACTGCTTCTGCCCAAAACCAAAAAGGGAAAACAACTAATACACTTCTCAACCAAAATCAGTTAAGGCTTGGTGATCCAAACACAGAAATCAACATCAGGGTTTTTTTCAAACTACTTTAGAAGATGATCTTTTTCCTTCTCTTCATAGCTGCAGGGAGCCATATAATCAGTCAGTGATCTACTGCACTTGTTTTCCAATGAGGAAGCAGCAGGAAATTGCCCCTCTCCATGCAGATTTTAAATTGCTTTAGGGCACAACCATCTCTTGGGCTGACACACACTGAATGTGACATGCTGGGGCTGAGCCTCATCTGCTCTCAGGTAGTGCAGATGGGAGACAAGGGGGGACCCAAAGCAGGGTCTCTGTTCAGAGGCAGGCGAGGATACAGCATGCTGAGGGGGTTGAACACGGCGAGCTCTGGCCAAGCACAGAGCACCCCTGCCCTCTGTCCTGCACTGTCCTGCCTTCTTTGCTAGAGAAGGCGAGAAAGCCCAGCACCACTTACTCCTGCAGAGTAGGCTGTGTTTGTACAGGCACAGGGGAGATGCTGGCAAAGCTGCTCTCCAGCTGCCCCCAGTCACTCACCTACCTTCAGGGGAGACATGGAGTGCCAAGGAAAAAGACCCTGGGAACCACAAAACAATACTAACAAACTAATTTGTTTACTTTGTAAAGCTTTGTTTACTCAATAAAAACAATGAAGTGAAACATTTAAAAAGCTTATTTCACAGTTCAAATTAATACTAGTGAAAATTAGCATAGAATTACAGTTTTAGAAATATCCGTAACCCTCCTTTTGTCTCTTTTTCTATTTTGAAGTAATTATGACACTTAGTTTTAACCTCAAGAGATTTCAGGAATGGATCAAATGGGTAAATCATTGCTAGCTTGATTTCCTGATGCCCTGTAAGCAATTACACAGAGGTATCCACAGTGATCATGTTTATAGCATATGCAATTGTTACAAAAATAACTAAGCTAAGAGAGAAGCAATGGTATCTTTCACAGATACCATTCCACCACTGACATAAGATCTTCCAGTAGCTCTGGAAAAGTCACTTCACTTCTCTGTCTCAAGTCTGGCCAGACAGCTGAAAAAAATAAGCATTCTGTACTTTAAATGACTCCTACAAAAATCTATTAAGAGCTGTTTGCAAACAAATTACTAGTTAGCAATATCCTTTGCATAAGGAGATTTTTTAAAAATATTGAACAATTCCACAGAGAAAATGTTAAGTGCCTTTGTAATCTGATATACTCTGGTGTGGCCATTCATATGGCTAGCTAAATGCTTTGCAAGATCAAGTAAATCTTAGACAACTTCACACACAAGTCCCAAATTCTTTGGGAGAACACGCTGCCTGGCAACAGCTCTCAGAAACTTGCTGACAATTTGAGAGCCACCTGGTACTGGGAAATCAGTCAGAAGTCAAAATACAAGCTGTGTTGCAGGTTTCAGAGAATCTAAGTGAACACAAATAACAAGTTTCCAAACTCTGCTGTTTAACAGGACAGCACAGATCACCTAAAATACTTACCCTACCCTAAGAACCCACCAAAAGCCTGAATCCTAATGCTTGACATTGAGCCTTTAATACACTAGCTTAGCAGTTTCTGCTTGCTTCTCCTCCTTTTATATTTTGGTAAGAACCTCTTGAAAATAAGAAAATGTACTGTTTCATCCTATCACAGGTAAAAATGTTATATATGCAGCTAATTAGCCTGCAAGGTCTCCTAGAATTATGTAAGTATAACTAAGAAATTATTTATATTCCACATCTTTGTTAAAATAGGCTGTGAAAGCATATGCAATACAACAATGAAAACATTACATTCTCTAAGCAATTCAAACCTCCATTTAGACATGGCACACACTGCACAGATTTTTATGGCAGAAATAAAAAAAGCTTTACCATTAGTAAAAAATATCTGTAGCTTCCAATATTCTTCTTCAGTCAGAAATTTCAAGTCTTTCTGGCGTTCTTTCAATAGATCTTGTTTATCCAAAATCCATTGTAAGCTAGAGGGATGGAAAATAATTTCAGCAACTCTTTATCAACATCATACCAAGTGTCTCCTATACAAACAGATTAAGAATTAAGGCTCGGGGATAAAGGGCTTGTGGCCTTTAACAAAGTCACAAACAATCTTCCCAAGCAACTGCTCTTCAGGGTTTTCAAAAGACAACTGAAAAAACAAACAAACAACAACAACCAAACAAACACAAAGAAAAACCCCCAAACAACAAAACATGAACTACTAGGGGCTGAGTAATTGGCCTCTACCAGTAGCAAACTGAGCTGGCTGTACAGACTTTAGACTCTGACAGTCACTAACAAGGTTTATGCTGCAGCCATTTCATTATGGGCACCATTCAAACCTTGACGTGCTCAGCACGAGGTGTTTCAGGGCAGAATCACAGAATCAATCAGGTTGGAAAAGACCTCTGAGACCGAGTCCAACCCATGACCGAACACCGGCCTGTCAACTACACCATGGCACAGGGTGCCACGTCCAGTCTTTCCTTAAACACCTCCAGGGACGGTGACTCCACCGTCTCCCCGGGCAGCCCGTTCCAGTATCAATCACACTTCCTAATGCCCAGCCCAAGCCGAGGCCCGGCTGCCCCAGCGCTGGGGACCCAATCTCCCGCAATCTGCCGCTGGAGCCCGGGGTGGCGCGGGCACTCACCCCGGGACGTGACCCCTGTCCCGGAGCGCCCCAGCGCTGCCCAAGCGGCGGCTGAGCGGGGCCGCTCCCGCCCCCAGCCCGGCTCCCGCCCGAGTCCCGCGGCGAGCAGGCCCCGCCGCCCGCCCGGCGCTCCCGGGCCTCCCTTCGGCGCCGTGCCCGCCGCCCGCCCCGGCAATGAATGGACAGAGCGCGGCGCCGGCCCGCAGCACCCGTGTCCCGCGCCCCGCGGCCGCGGCACCCACTAGTGAGAGCTCTGCCAGAAGTTGCCGGCCATGGGAAGGAGCGGAGCGGGGAGGAGGCGCCCGGGCCCGCGATGCCCCGGCCCCGCCGCCACAGCGCCGCCGCCCCCGCGCCGGCAGCAGGAAGGAGGAGGCGGCGCCGCCGCCGCCGGCCGGCAACACGCGGCTCTGCGAACCGTTCCCCCGCGCGCGGGTTCCGCCCGCCCCGCGGCCCCGCGGCCCCGCTCCTGGCACCGGGACACGGAGCGGGATGGGCCGGGAAGGGGACCCATCCAAACCCGGGCCAGCCCCCGCTATGGGCACGGACGCCTCCCACTAGGACAGGTTGCTTAGCGCACTGTCCGACACGGCCTTCAGCACTGCCAGGGATGGGGCAGCTCTGGGCAGCCTGTTCAGTGCCTCGCCACCTTCACATGGAAAGAATTGCATCCATATATCCATTTCAAACCTCTGTCCGTGCAAAGCTGGCTGCTTCTCTCTCTCTCTACTGTAAGCAGCCAGGAAGATCCAGAGCTTACTTGTCTTGTGCTATCTCCACCTCACCTAAATTTCCCTCCTACTTACCTTCACGGCTCAGCTTGCTCCATGCTGGAATTTTCCTCATTGGAGAGAATTTCTAGAGGTATTTACTTATTAATTCTAAATTTCAACTACAAACAGGAAGTATATGGGCCTGCTTTCTTTCCATGTTTTTTCCTGTCGTGGCTCTCAGCTTCTTAGGGATCTGAAATGTATCAATGCCATGCACTTGAAAACTTGGGAACAGGTACGTTAAAGGGAAATTTAGGTTCTGTTTAGGAACTATGAAGCAGAGAGGGAAAATGCACAGGGTAAATTGGTGTCATGCTTTAGAAATTATATTCTCAAATGTTGTGTTCACACTGAAGCTACTCCAGACCTCCCATGACTCACACACTTCCGCATCCTCTTGTCCCCCTGCTGTGGGTGGCTGGAGAGCAGAACTGGAGGCATAAAAGGTAAAGATCATGGACTGAGAGAAGAACAACTTACTGGAAACAGCAATGAGATAAGAAATGAACAGTAACAGCAACAACACTGATTACAAGAAAACAACAAGTTGGCGCTCACCCTATGGAAACCCCCATCAATGCCCAGCCGCTCCCTCTGCAGTGCTATCCCAGCCTACAAGTGAGTCTTTTTCCTGCTCTGTCCTTGGAAAATGATACGAGGTGTCATAGAATAACCTCTAGGTACTGGCCCTGGCCCTCGTGGCTGCAGCAGAAATTAAGCCTGTCCTGCCTGGAAGCAGGACAGATGGAGCCAGTGGTGTTTCTAAATGCCTTTGCTGGCAGAATGAGACACTGTTCTGACATGCCAGAGAGACTCTAGGTTTGAGACCCTCTTTATACATAGGAATGTGGAGGAGGGAGGTAGATAAAAAAAAAAACATTTTGCATACCCTTTAGCTTTCCTTTCTCAGTGTAAGGAGACGTGACTGAAACCACAGGCTGGGTTTGTGGGGATTCTGTGGGGGCTCTCTGACCTGACGCCTTTCTCCAAAAAATATCCGGACTTTGCAAGGTATGGGAAAAGGAACTTACTCTGCTGTGTCAATGTCACAAAGAGGTGAACCAAATTGCCAGCAAATGCCCTGGATCACAGCTGCCCACAGCCACATCACACACAGCATAGCACAAGCACCAAGGAATCAGCAGAGAGAGAGACAGAGGCTGCTGTATAACAGAGGAGCTTGTCATAGCCTCACTGAACATACAAGAGCAACCAAAATAACAGCAAACCTCATGCTTCTGGTTATCACATCAAGTGAGCATCTCTTTTTTTCTTCACCATCTTTCTCTACCTGACCCTGGCTATTTTCTTGCTCTGATTTAGTACCTGTGTTTCGTTCCCTCAGTGGTGATTTGGGCTTCTGCACAGTCAACAGCTGGATGAATATGAGACATCTGTGTGCCCAGGTGGCCAAGAAGGCCAATGGCATCCTGGCCTATATCAGAAATAGTGTGACCAGCAGGACCAGGGCAGTGATGATTCCCTTGTACTCTGCACTGGAGAGGGTGTGCCTCAAGTACTGTGCCAAGTTCTGGGACCCTGAGGTGCTGCAACTTATCCAAACAAGAGCAACAGAGCTGGTGAAGGGTCTAGAGCACAGATCTTATGAAGGACAGCTGAGGGAACTGGGGTTGTTTAGCCAGGACAAAAGGAGGCTTAGGGAAGACCTTATCACTCTACAACTTCCCTGAAAGGAGGTTGTAGCAAGGTGATGTCAGTTTCTTCTCCCAGCAAACAAGAGATAGAACAAGAAGAAATGGTCTCAAGTTGCACTGGGGAAGTTTTAGATAAACTTTCTTTACCAAAAGGGTTGTCAAGTGTTGGAACAGGCTTCCCAGGGAAGTGGTGGACTTACTACCCATTAAGGTACTTAAAAGACATGGGGATGTAGCACTTGGGGACATGGTTTAATAGTGGACTTGGCGGTGCTGGGTTAACTTGATGATCTGAAAGGTCTTTTCCAATTTCAACAATTCTATGATTTTACACTTCCGTATCACAGAATATTAGTAGGGACTGGGCAGGATATTTACCATAGCTATGATAAATGCCATTGCTGCACTGCACACTAGGCGGGGGAAACAGCTCTGCTTGCCCTGTATCTGGCACCACAGGGCTGTTTAATACTGCTGGAATGGGAGCACTTGGCACCACGGATTCATGCCAGCTCCACTCCCAGACTGCTTCTTTCCCAGCAGGACAGACCTCATGTTGCATGACCCCATTTCACAGCACTGCAGCAGACCACACCAGAGCTATGGAGAGGGAAACTCTCCCTGCTCCACAGACCCAAAACCAGAGAGGAACAAAGACTCCTTGGGGTACACATTGCCCTGCAGTGGGACACTCTGCCATGCTGGAGTTCCTCCAGTGCCCTACCAGGGGACACCCTGCTATGCTGGATATCCTCCCTGCAGAATGGCAAATGGCGCCCAGGGGACTCCCAGTGCTTGGGGAGGGAGGGGGGGTCATTGTCAGCTGTGCAGCATCCCTTGAGCAAAAAGGCAAAGGGTCCTCTAGACTGAGCCATGCTGGGAATGCCAATTGCCAGGCCACGAGGCCTGCAGCTGGTGTGGGCCCACATTGCAGGGGTGCTGATGGCCATGTGTGGATGCCGCCATGACTCCATCTCCCTGGAGGCCCAGCTGGGAGATGCTTCCTTGGGCAGGGGCATGTCAGGGGGCAGACAAGACAGAGCTTTTTCCCTTTGACATTGCTTTTGAACCTTTCCTTTCCAGGAGCAGTGTGGAGGATCGTTTTATTTACCATGTCCTCTGTGTGTGTGTGTCAAAACAAGCAAATGAAGATCTCATGAAACAGATGTTCAGTGCTGCTGTGTGTGCAGATGTCTCCTTGCTCAGCCTCAGACCTGGCTGCTGCTCTGAGGGACATCCAGATATAGGATGAAAAAATCGCAGCCAAGAACCTGCAGGTAAAATTATACTTTGTCATATTTGTGAGATGAAATTATCTGTCAGCTCTTGCTTATCTCTTCCCCCTCTGCCCCCCTAATGAAAACCATCACAAACATATTGAATATACTTAGTAGTCCATTGCTAGATATAAATATATGCAGGATAGTTGGATAGATTTTTTTCTCCATAAAAAATGCTTCTTCCAATCCACATCTTATAAATAGGATGATACATGGACAGTTTTTTTTCATGGGTTCTCCCCCACAATTGGAAATACAATATTTTCTTTATCTCTTTCCCTTGAATGCACACAAAAACAGTCTTTGCAGATACTCTCAGGTTTTTCACATGTTTACATATTCATCTAATAACTGAAAACAGTACATATCTTTTCACAGATCTGACAATAAGCATTCTTGTTTGCCCTCTGCTGTTTAATATCCCCTCAGGAAATGAATGAGTGGTACAAAACCAGATTTACTGACTTTAATCAAGCTTCCACAAAACATGCTGAGAATGTGAGACATTTCAGGGAAGGAACAGGGAAAAGAAGTGTAAGTGGAATTGAAAACCCCTTCCAGCTTATGTTATGTCACTTCTAATGGAAGCCTTTGTTATGATTTCACTAAGTTAGGTAATGTGACAGTTGTCCGATATTTTTCCCAATAATGGTGATCTTTTAGGCTATATTTTGCAACAAACGAGGTGGATTGGAGGAATGGTAATCCTGGATGTGACTCCATGTGTCAAACCTGTAGCAAGTAGCCACAAATAATATTTATACATATGAAACAAAAGTTCGCCTGCTCAGTAATGCAGGTATCTGAACATAAGGATCCTGTTATTTTGAATGACAATGTCAGGGAAAAGGATTTATGTGGGAGAATTTTTTATTTGAAGCACTATCAAAGACACTTCCACTTCCACACCAAAAACAGACTCCTGCAGAAGCAACCATTTAATATTTTATATCAGAGACATTCAGGATCATTTCATTAGATGAGGGAAAGACCTTAGAATGAGGGTTTGTTTTACAACATGAAAATAAATAACAAGGGTTGGAGGTGTTATTAAAACCATCAGCTCTGTTGTGAGAACCTCTTGATGAGGATAGATGGTTCAGCCACCTCCTGCTGCCCTTTGCTTAAAATAATTTTTTGAAATCAGCATTCCCACATAGTAGCCTGTTATTTCAAAGGGTTTTCCTTTCTGGGTCACAGACACACTGGCATTTAACCCCACCTCCTCTCGGTAAAACATGAAGCAGGAGCATATGCAGGATGGAGTATCATATCAATGTTTTGTTGTTTTGATTTTTTTCCTCCGCTAGTCTCCTTGAAATGCATCCGCCGCTTCAATGGCTCAGGCTTTCCATGCAAGGAGTAGCCTGTGGGTCTGGATCCTGAGCAGCTCACCCTGCCCAGGCTGAGATGGTTATTCAGGCTGTCCTTGAAACCCTGAGAGTCACACGGATCAACCTGCAGGTCAGCTACCCATTCACATGGGGCATGTGTCCCATCGGGAAGGGCTTTGCCTCCAGCAAAGACCAAGTTGCCAGGGTCACTTCACTGGGGACCTGTGCTGGGACATCAACAGTGGACTAAGGGTCTGTTAGGTAGCCTTCACCTCACAGGGAGAGTTTGCCTCTCTCTCACCTCTTCCCAAATGTTCAGTTAAACAAGCATTAAGCAG